CCCACCCACACCCACACCCACACACCCTATCATTTACACGATGAAACTTCCGCATAGGGGTAATGACTTCCTTACTCCATAAATGAATTACATGTTTTTAAAATTGAGGAATTTGAGTGAATTTGGGGTATTGCCCTAAGGGTAACGACTTTTAAACTACAGCTATATATTCTAAAGTTGAGGAATTTGGGGTATTATCCCAAGGGTAACGATCTCTAAACTGTAACTATATGTTATGAAGTGGAGGAATTTGAGTGAATTTGAGGTAACGACCTCGCTACCTCAAATTCACTCAAATTCCTGAACTTTAGAATATACAGCTATAGTTTAAATGTCAATACTCGGAGACTACATTAAAAGCAAATGAGGATACCGGGTGTAACGGGATTATGATACCACTTAAACAGATAAATCAGTTATAATAAGTTCATTAAGACTTCAATCTTCAAAACTTTCATCTGGTAAATAACATCGAACAATCATTTAAATTCTCCTTTCTTTCAATTCTCTCATAGCTATTTGTAATGCCTTTGTACTTATTACACATGCTCGCTCATATTTGGTCATATACGCTGTTGTTATTCGTTTCAATGGGTCAGTTCTCATACCTGGTTGTGTTCCATCCAAAACATCTTCATTGAGAATTTGCATCCGACCATCACCTTGTAATTGTTGTTCACTTATTTGTGTTCTCTGATCTTCCTCTAAATCTTCATCCATTTTCAATATCTTCACCTCCACCTCTATCATCATAATCATCATCGACCATCCAAGAAAGAATTCGATTGTTTATTCTAGTTCGTAGAAAGTAGTATAGTCTAACGTAATATATAATGGGTAGCAATTTTTTTGATGACCAAAAAAGTTGAGTTTTGATCAACAGAAACGTCTAACTGCGAAATGATTACCAAAAAATGAGTGTTTTGATCACCAAATTTATTATCAATGAAAACAAGAATAACAAATAGCAAAATTATTCATAACGCTACATGAACAAACAATAACTAACAAAAGTACAGACAAAAAAAATATTTTATGGAAATAGAGTCGTTCAGACTTTTTTCGGACCACCTTTACCTTTTCTTTTGCCTAATAGTTCACAACGAGTTTGATCAGTAACTTGATACATATTGAAGATAATAGCAAGACCGACTGAGTGCTTGCATGCGTATTTTTTAAGACCTATTGGACAAATGCACGACATAAGAGGAGAAACCAGATAGCATGATGTTTGCCATGCTACAAAATCTTGAAAAGCTTCCCATTGATATGATTGATACTGCTTCAGCCAAAGCGATGTTGTAAGTGCTGCAGTAGACGATGGAACAATGTAAAATGTGTTAAATCAATGTAAGATATCGCTTTGATTTACAGTTAATGACCATTGATATGCCTGTAATTCTGTATCAGAAGATATAGTAGTATTATTAGAAAATGGTGATGAATCAGCTTTATCAGACCAATTCTTGAGCATCTGTTCAACTTTTGGTAAAAAGGCAGAAAGATGCAGTTTGTTTCGAAGTGTATATTTTTGCTTAATAATAGCATTCATGGATTCACATCCATTATTAGTTGCCGGTTTTCCAAACACGGCTCCTTCATACCTATGTCATAGGAGTAAAAGAAATATTCTTATAAAACATTATTATTATTATTTTCTTACCAATAAGGTAACTTTGTGATCCATTGCTCTACGAAGTATTCCATAAAATTTTTCATTGAGGGAATAGCATTCCATTTTTGTAAAAATAATTTAACACCATTATTAAATATGTCATCTGAGAAACTTAACTGAAGAGAATGGATATCTTGATCCATGCTGGGCCATAGATCTTTTGGTACAAGATTACGATGTAATCGACATTTTCTGATCATATGACTCCAGCACATAAGACGACGACTTTGAGGAAAAATAATTTTTTTGTGCTTTTGTGATGCCTAAATACATAGCAAGAGGATATGAATATTAGAATTACAAAAATAAACCTATAGATCACCGGGAGCTTCATCGGCCATCACATGACTAATCAAACATGGATGATTAAATTCTTGAAGAGATAATGTATTAATAGATGTAAATAATTGTTCATAACATTTCTCATTTTCATCATGAGACACTAGTGCAATATCGAAAGGTTTGAAACAACGGTTTGCATCTGTCGATCCAAAAACCAGAAGTGGAAGTTCATTCCATGTAATTCTCTAGGTAGCGTCAATTTGGAAAAAACTTGTTAACTTGATTTGTCGAAATAATTGTTTGGTCGTAAAAAGAATGAATATATTATCAATATGTTCAACAATATAAAATGGCACAAAAGTAGAATGTAATTGGGTGTTGTCTTTGTGTTGATCGCACCAACTCTTCAAATCAAATACAGAAAAAATTTCTCGACGATTTTTACGACGTTCATAATTAATTAAATTGATCAATTTCGTTTCATGTATTGGTGAGTGTGGATGATCTTGTATTAATGATAATTTTATTTGAGATTGCGATAAACCACAATGAACATATTTAGATACTGTTTTTCGAATAGGTGAAGGTAATCGTGTTGTTGAATTACGTTCGTATTGCTGATGTTGATGAATATTTCGTGACATAACTGTTACGAAGGTTGGATCATCATCTGCTGCAATGATTTGAATCTCATAAGAGCATAATGGATATTTTCTGTATTCATTGCATTTGAATAAATATTTCGTTCGATTCTTTAAATCTGAACGCCGATATTGTCATACATTCAATTGAGATTTTACCAACATAGCTGCTTCTTCATAGGATTTCGCTGTAAGCAATGGTTGCCATTCTTCTTTCAACATTTTTTTCTTATGATGCATGCATCGTACTATTCAAATTCCTTATAACAACTTTGAACTAACGAGCTCATTTCTATCAAATGAGATTAAATTGAATTGAGTTTGATTTCTGGAAACGTTTTGTTCTAATTTAATTGGCTCATTCTTGATTAATTTGGTGATCAAAACACATTTTCCCCATATATAATCTGTATGAAAAAGAAAAGAAAAAGAATTCTGTATCTTTATTTTGAACAAGAAATCATCAGTGCAACACAACTGTATGAATGATTACATTCTTGAGAACCATCTCCGATATATCAAATTTTTGTTGCCTAGTTTTGCTGTCTGAGTAATATTTATCAATTGAATCGTGCTTTTTCTTTTATAATTAGATATTTGAAAA